CTCACTTTTTCTTTTCCTTTTCTTTATAATTTGTATTTTCAATTTTCTTTTTCATTTCTAACTTTTAACTTTGTAATTTTAAGATCTCAATAAAATACTATTAAAAAAAAATGGAACTTGCATGTATGAAATGAATGGAAATTGGGCTTGTGAGTAAAGTAAAACAGGGATGGCCAGCTTAGTATCTTAGGTGTAGTAATCAATGCTGGTTTAAATTATTAAGCTCTGAGTTCTTTAGGATTTGGGGTGAGGTAATAATTCCAAAAGTATTTGATATTCAGGGGTGAGGAAGGGTGAAATGTCTTAAATGTTCAGATTTATCAGGTAAATATGAATAGATGTCAAACTGTACTTTTTAATTTCTGTTAACAATTAATTTTAAAGATTTTACTACTTCTTCAGGTTGTGCCAGAGTTGAAATAAACATTTCAGAACTGTTTTGTGAATCAGCCTCATGGAAGTAACACTCTACTATACTGTGTGCTATTCTCAGAGGCATTTTTCATAACATTCATTTTTCTGTCTGTTTATTTGCTGACATATGTAGACGCACACACCCCACTATTAGGGAGATGGTGGTTTGGGGGTTATTGGGTGCTCATATGACACCTATTGGCACATCCTTAGAGACTGATTAAACTCTGCCTCTTTTCTTGGGTGTGTACCATTGCGCCTCATGGTCTCGGGAAAACGTGTTGGATTTAAGAAGGTGCAGGCAAGTGTGCCATACTTGCCTACGTGCATTCCAGATCACCATTTTTCCATTGAATCTGGATCACTGCACAGCCTTAATGCTTAAGTCTTTGTCATTTCTGTTTCTCTCTTGGTAATACAGTGTTTGAGGAAAAAAACAAAATATCTGTCTATTCATCCACATACAGAGACGCACACCCTTCTGAAGAGAATTTTAGGTGTGTGTGTGTGTGTGTCTATTATTAGCATGCATGTGTATAGTTAGCATCCTTCCCAAGAGAATAAAAAAATATCTTTGATAGGATACAAATAAAATAGCATAAGCCCTGTTGAATATTATCAGGAAGGTTATGTTTCCTGAACAGATTTGCTCAATCTGGACACCCTCTAGACATGTAGACTTCAATTCCCCAGCCAGCATAACCACTGTTGATAATTTGGGGAGCTAAATTGTTCACATCTGGAATTTGGGCAAAGCTGCTGGCCTACAAAAATGAAATGGCAGATATTTTTGACCATTCTTAATAGGACTGTTATGTTCCTCTGGACAGTTCTACCACCAACATAGCATGAAAATAAAACATTTTCATTCATAAGGAAAATAACTAACCAAACTTACTTTGAAATACACTGTTTCTTCCATCAGTTCAGTTGGGATGGATTCCCATTTGGATCTCCCATTCATAAAACTATTTCCTGCAACTCCATGATGTAATTTCACTAGATTGCTTTAAATACCTTTGCAGTTTGAATGGATTTACTTTTCTTTTTGATTCCTGTCACTTTTTTCCCTTTCCACCAAGTCTCTGAGATGCTTTATATAACGTGTAATCTTGCTTTAATTTTAGTTCACTTATGCACTGTCCTATATTACATATACTTACAGGTTATGACCACTCATGAAAGAATCAGTTGGTGTGAAAAATTTACTAGAAAATAGTATTGGCAACCAGCCCTGTCTATAATTTAATTGTGAATGCGAGGATAGACCTGGCAAATATTACTGAGATCTGCTAATGGTGAGAGGTTTCCCCTCATGGAGATCTGTTCAGTCGGTCATTGTACATCAGTCTTGACCCCAGAGCAGGGGAGGTGGTGTGGGAATTGTATACTGGGAGATGTAGTTGTATAGGTGACTAGATGTAAGGGCTTGCTTATTATGCTGGACCAAAAGAACAAACTGAAAGAGCTTCTATTTTACCATTATCCCAGCTGTGTGTTTCTCAGTTTCATTGCAGGGATGGTTGTGATTTTGCCCAGACTATTAATACTGAGTGATTTCAACCTCCTCTCCATAGTATAGGAAGCAGATCAGGAATTAATGTTTGCTGTGACAACCATGTGCTTGTCCCTGTTCATCACTTGTCCAACTCACATATCTGGCTGCACTTTAGATCTCCTATTCACCTTGGAATAGATGTGTCATGATCTGGTTCTGCGGTACTTTTCCATCATCATGGACAGATCACTTCCTCTGGGTGATGGGAAATTGGCAGCAAAGGATCTTTGCAGGGAGAAGAGACCTATTAAGATGGTCCTCCCCAGATGCCTGATGGATTCAGCTGTTTCCTAATTGCTGTAGGGGAGCTTCCCAGCAATTTGGAAAGTACTTCCCTTGTTTGTCTTGTTAACCACTGGAATAGTGGTTCACCCCTAAGTAGCTTTCCTCCTGCCCACAGACCCTGTGCAGGCATTTGGTTTACTAAGGAGCTCCATGATATAAAGCAGGTGAAGAGATGAATGAATGACCGGACATGAATAGGAGCCCAAATTTGAGCCTACTCTGGCAATAAAGGCAGAAATGCATAGTTACATCTGAGCCTGTATTATATCTGCTTGTGTTTAAGTTCCTATACCCTTCTGGGGAATGATGGGTCAGAATACTCAGTCAGTGTAAGTTGTGATTATCTGGTCAAGCATTTCATGAATAAAATCACATTCACTATGAGTTGAAAACCAGATGGAAAAAATCTACTGAGATAACAGTAGTCTTGTAGTGTTGTCTCAGAGATTTTTAAGCATATGGATCACAAAAAGTGGACAGAGTCCTCCGAATCTTAGCTATTCATGAACAGGATCCCTGCCCCACTCTTGCACCACCTGGCCAATTAAAGTGGCCAGGGAAGGGACTAAGAGTTGGATCCAGACTATAGTCAAAACTTTTTTTTAGGGAAGGGGAAATTCCAATGGTCCTCAAGAGGCTTCACTTCATTTATTCTTTAAAAGGCCTGGATCCAACAAAATCCAATAAAAAAGTTATTGAGAAAGTGGTGAGGCTGTAGTTGCAGAAAGCTCTGGAGGATACCGATTGTATGGACTCTTGAGAGTCTGAGTTCAGACCTGGGTATGGAATGGAAATTACTTTGGCTGTTCTCATGGCTGACATGTATGGCAATGGCATGATCCATCTTCATCCTTCTAGATCTTTCACTAGGTTTCAGTGCTGTTGACCAGAATATTCTTGTGGACCATCTGGGAAGGCATGATGGTTCTGCTCCTTCCTGAGTGGATGGGTCCAGAGGATGGTTGTGGGGTGTCTCAGTGTTCAGTTCTTTTCTCTATCCTGTTCAACATGTACATGAAACAGCTAGCAGAGATGATCCACTGGTTCCAGGTGAATACCATCAGCATGTATATCTCCACCCTGGGCCCATGGGGGGTGGGCATGGTGGAAGTCATGCCCTGGTATCTGGAAGCTGTTAGGGTTTGGGTAGGGAAAAACAGAAACAAACTCAACCCAAACAAGACTGAGTGGTCATTGAGTCTCAGGCTGACTGATTCCAGGACTCTATCATCTTTCATCCTTGATGTGGTTGTGCTTCCCCAGAAAGAGCAGATTCACAGTCTAGGGCCCCCTGGACTCAGGACTCCTGCTTGAACATGGCCAGGAGAGCCCTTGCACAGTCTTGGCTGATGCACTAGTTCCAGGCTTACCTGAAATAGGATGCACTGAAGCCTGTTATTCATGCTCTTATCTCTTGATTAAATTATTGTAACTCACTGTACATGGAAGTGCCCATAAAGGCCACTCAGTAACTTCAACTGGTTCAGAATGCAGCAGCATGTATGCTCAGTGGTTACAAGTATGTTTCCAAGTGCAGTTTAAGGGACAGGCTATTATATATAAAGCCTTACACGGCTCAGGGCCTGGGTGTCTTAGGGACCACGTTTGCCCAGTGGTTTCTTCCTGTCCTACCTGGACAACTTGGGAGTACTTGCTGAGGATTCCCACCTACCAGGAGGAATGAAGTGTGGGGCCCAGTGTAGGGCGTTCTCTTTAGCAACCCCTTTCCCATGGAACAGCTTGCTGTCCGAAGCATGTATAGACCCCACCATCATGGCCTCTGGAAGCAGGTGAAAACTTCCAGAGGGCTTTGGGGGATTAATTGTTATACTGTACAGTGATGTCACTTTTACTGTTTCATAATTTTTAGTTTTATATTTTTAGTCCAAATTTATTTTTTCCTATTTTGTATTATTACTTAAATTCTTAAATTACTTAAATACTTAAATTCTATGTTTAATACATGGAGTCCATCTGGTTTCATGCACTTAGATAAATTTCATAAATAAGTAAACAAACACATTTTCATTCTTTAAACAAAGCATTATACATACTCCATAATTTGAAACAATATAGATCAGTAACTTTTCAGCTTGGAGTTCAGCTTAAACACCAAGCTGTGATCCAGGACCCATTTTTTAATTTATAGTCAAGTATAATCATCTGTATTTTGTCCCCCCCACCCCAGTTTTATTTCCCTTTTTCTTCTACACACCCTTCCTGTTTTTTAAAGACCATAGCTAAATAGTTGTGGCCAGTAGCAACTTTTGGGATTGATTCAGCAAAATCACCTGCAGTGTCTGTCTAGTGAGAGTAATCAAAGTAGGAAATGTACACACTTTCTGTGCAGGCAGATGACAGTAAAAATCAGGAGTACCATGATCACTGTGAACGCCTCTTCACAGTGGTTAAAATTCTGCCCTCTACCAAAACTGCAGAAAAAACTATATTTCTTTAAAAAGGAACAGAGGGTTCTGCAAGCTTCAACAAAGCTAATAAACCTTTTGTTCATTGTTAAATGTAATCCGATAGATGTATGTACATAATGAAAAAGATGCAAGTTTACAGAGATGCAAACAATAATGTCATGAAGTCCTGAAAATACTGAATTCTTCATAGCATTTAACAATGGAAAAATGTTAGCATCTGAAACACACTGTTTTGCTGGTATTCCTGAATAGCCAGTATTGGTAGCATCACCTGTAATTATTGTTATATATACCTGCAGGTATAAAAGGCAAGAAACCAGACAACCTCCTCATTACAGCATTGGACTTGAACAAGATGAGACTTATATTCCACCAGGAGAATCCTTGAAAGACCTCATTGAACAGTCTCAGAGCTCAGGAAGTGGTTCAGGGCTCCCTCTGTTGGTAAGGAAAGAGTACTGAGATCATAATAAGTCATATATATAAAATATAACCACTTACATCATTCAAACAAAGGATATTGTTTGTGCTGTATCTCAAATAAAGAAAATAACAGCGTCAGCCTTTCATGTGAAAAATATGGAGCATAATCTGTGGGCTACAGGTGAACAGCTAAGGTGATCCCAGTTATATAGATCCTCAGTTCTTGCTTTTGTTTTATTTGAGCATATTTTGTCCATTTTTAAACTAAAAAAACCATTTTATTTTTTGTATCTTGTATTTTTTGTATTTTTAAACTTAATTTTCATTTTAAAACAAGTTGAAAGACTATGAATTCTTAGAAGGAAGCTTTGTCCTCCTCTTTTTCCTGTGAATATTCAGGGTGAACTTGATATAAAAATATTGGAGAGGCAGACATCTTGTAATCATGGGTAGCATTGGAGAGAAGCTTGTGATATTTAGGAAAAGAAAAGGGAGTAAAGGGAGACTTGATAGATGCCCATTAAATCTTGAATGAGGTAGAATTTTTATTTTTTTATTGATCATGCTGGAGAAAATTAGGGCTATCCAGTGCGACTCAATCAGTGAGGGATTTAGAAAAGAGAAAGGGTTCATGGTGTATGAGAGTCATTTTTGTGTAATGGTTAAGGCATTGAACTAAGACCAGGGAAATCCAAGTTCAGATCTCTACCTAGCTATGGAAGCTTAGTACGTATCTGAATATCAGTTGTTAGTGAACACAACTGAAAGTATATTCATGTCCTGATTTTGGCCTATCCAAGGTATCTGTTGGCCACAATGGGAAAAGAATGCTGGACTAGATAGGCCTTTGGTGTGATCCTGCAGCTCTGCACTAATATTTTTAGCTCATGAGCAAATTCTAATACTTGAAAATGGTTCCAACCTTTGAGAAGTTACAAAGATCGCATCTAGCAGACAGCAGTTGTAATTCCAACATCTTATGTCTCTGACAGGTACAGAGGACTATAGCAAAGCAGATTCAGATGGTGAAGCAGATTGGCAAAGGTCGCTATGGAGAAGTCTGGATGGGAAAGTGGCGAGGAGAAAAGGTGGCTGTCAAGGTTTTCTTCACCACAGAGGAAGCCAGCTGGTTTCGAGAGACAGAAATCTATCAGACTGTTCTGATGAGGCATGAAAATATTTTGGGTGAGGGGCATAGCTAAATATAAGCAATTATGATTTAGGCCTGGAGTGAGGTGTCCACATTGTGTGTGTGTGGACATGCACGTATTTTAAAACTAATAGATAGTTTTTAAGTTCAGTAAATGTCCCAAAATCCAAAGATGAGAATGGCTGCATGTTGTTTCAGTGGTATCAGTATTTATATCTTTAATTGAAGTATTTGTATCCACTCTGGAAGTAGTAATGATAACAAGTTACATACAATCAATAACAGGCTTGTATAGTTATGATTCAAATAGGAAAAAGAGGGAGGGGAAATAAACAGCCTAAATACCAGTTCTTCACGTTCAGTAGTAGTTGTTGTACAAAGATCAGCTAAATACACTTTACTCTTCAGAAGAGGAGAGGAGGAGAAAACTAATACAGCTAGGTCCTTCATACAAATGGATTGTCGATGTTACACATCCCATTGCTACTTTATTATGATGAAATACAGGTACTCCTTGACTTATGACAATTCGTTTAACAACTCTTCGAAGTTACAACGATGCTGGAAAAAGTGACTTACAACCAGTCCTTGCAGTTATGACCATTGCAGCATCCCTGTAGTCACATGATCAAAATTCAGGGGTTTGGCAACCAGCATGTATTTACGATGGTTGCAGCATCTGGGGGTCACACGACCACCATTTGTGACCTTCCCAAGGGGCTTCAAGAAATAAAGTCAATGAAGGAAGCTGGATTCACTTAATGACTGTGGCAAATAAGGTCATAAAATCAGGCACAACTTACTTAATGACTGCATCACTTAGCGATGAAAGTTCCAGTCCCAATTGTGGTTGTAAGTCGAGAACTACCTGTAGCTGCTGCTGCTAGTGAAGCTGGTCTTCCACTAGTTTGACAGCATGGATGGGCCATTTCTCAGCTCCCTTTGTGGTGGCTTGCTACAAAGTCCATTAACCATTCTAAGATTATGGCTTAGAGCAGCACTCCCAGTGGGAGGCTGTACCACTACGTCTACATTGAAAGTTCTTGTGGATCGTTTTAAATACATTTCAAAGATTTGCTGCCACTCTCCTGAGGTGAACATGTTGGTTGATATCTCTTCAAAAAGAGATAAAAACAGAACAGATGCTTTGCTACTCTGTGTGCGTGTGTGTGTGTGTGTGTGAGAGAGAGAGAGAGAGAGCGCGCGCGCCTGTGCACCAGCTCTGTTGTCCATTTTCTTTGCTTTAACATAACCCCTTGTGTCAGCTCATTATTTTAGAAAAAGCCTCTTGACATACTCCTGCAGTACTGCAGCAGAGCAAGTACATACTAGGTGTTTTTGTGTGGGTTTTGAAGACTAACCACTAGACCATTTACTTTGGTTTGTTTTCCAAAAACAGACAAACTTGTCACTGCTGTGAACCATATGCACGAAATATTTGGATTTTGATTCCATGCAAGTAACTTTCATATTGCAGGTTAATTTTCCCAATTCAGTTTCAAGACACAGAGACAGGTACCAGTGAATTTCTCATGTTGTCAGTTTTAGCAATAACATTGTATATTATACTCAGCCTAGGGACAACAAAGGCAAATATTAAATTTCTCAATTCATTTTTAAAACTTAAATTTTACTCTTTAAAGCTATCTGTTCTGAGACAAATATAAAATTTAGACAATAAACCTAAAAACCCAAACGCAAAAATTTAATAGGTGTCTAGGTCAACATCCAATGAGCATAGTCTTCAGAGTTCAACATGAGGTGCTTCTAATTTTGTACATGTAAAGTTTTGTACTTAAAAAGGAATATACAGTATGGAGTAATCTGAGATGTTCCTGGAGAACATATGACTTTGCTGGAAATATTAAGTACAGGTAGTCCTCACTTAATGACCTCAATTGGAACTGGAGTTTAGGTCACTAAGTGATGTGGTCATTAAGGAAATCATGTGGTTAAGTGAATCACACGGTCATTAAGTGAATCACACAGTTCCCCACTGATTTTGCTTGCTGGAAGCCAGCTGGGAAGGTTGCAAATGGCGATCACGTGACCCCGGGACCCTGCAACCATATTAAGTATGAGCTGGCTGCCAGGCACCTGGATAATGATCATGTGACCACAGGAGCACTGTGCCAGTTGTAGCTTTGGGCATAGGTTGTAGGTCACTTTTTTAGTGCTGTCGTAACTTAGAATGGTTGCTAAACAAATTGCCGTTAAGCAAGGACTACCTGTATCCCAGCACCTTGACCTTAAAATGCTCTAATTCAGAAAGATACGCAGTACAAACGATTCTCATCTGTGACAGTAAACCAACCCTACTTTTGCTGACTTCCATTAGAACAGAGACTGGAAGTGGATCCCAGTTCTTAGTGCCTTGAGACTTCTGGAAAACACAGATGCACTTCTCTAACCCCTAATTTAGTCACAGCATCCAGGGCATATTTATTTAAATTGAACTTACAAGAAAAAAATCCATACCTGGAGCACCAATGGCAGTAGTAAATGTGTTGACAAACATTAGCTTCCCTTAAGGTTAAAGATCTGTGACCAAAACACAGTCTGTTCTGAACTCTGTACTTTTGCACTAAAATATTGCAAATGAGATCTTTGTTTCCATCACCTATATCATCTGTGACAGTCTTTTGATTTCAAGGGAGAAGAAAAGGAAAACCCTACACAGCATAAGGCTTAAGGCAGGAGGCAGGCAGTCTATGGAGTGTAGGGGGACTGAAATTGATAGAATGATGGAGATACAGCGCACTTTGTTAAAACCTTGGAAAGGATAGAAATAATGCCATGAATGGAGCAATGGAAAGAATGAGAGAACTCACAAGTAATTAATTCTAACATGGGAAGAGCTGTCTATTTCTGCATGATAGTCTGAATTGGGAGGAAGAGGTAGAAGAGAAGAGAGAGAGAAAAGGAACAAAAAGGAGAAGAGAAAAATAATTACTCACTTGTTTCCAGCCTGATTGTAGCTCCAAAAAGATCACCCTTTCCATGAGGTTGGGCATTGGTTTCAAGCAGACTCCATACCACACATTATTTTTCTTCCAGATTTTACCATGTTTTAGAGCAAAAACAACCTGTAGCAGCTTTCATGGAAAAATGAGTATTTGAGATTTTATCATTGCAGCCAAAATATAAGCTTGCAATTGAAACTGGTTATAGTTGGGTTTCCATTTCCATTTATCTCAATAATCTAGCATTCTCATGAGATTTATAACATTTCCAGTACAGGACTGTGTTCTGCGTTTGTCACAGTAAGCCGGAATCCTTGAATAGAAAGCAAAGAAGATGATGATAATTCCAGGTCTTCCTCTACAGAGGAAGCCTTCATTAGTTCAGAAGCAGAAGCTATTTAGTAAAGATCACATGGCAGTTAAATAAAACACATTGTTTTTCCTTTTTTCCGGTACTGATGTGACTGAGCTGAGTTAAAATTATTGTAAAATATATAAATAAGAATCCTGAATAAAAAGTTGGACTATCCCATGTTAAGAAATCAATGGCTAAAGGTTTTAAAGACTATCAAGTATGTTTCTTGTGATATTAAGATGGAACTAATTCAGCAAACATTTTTTTTTCATGTATATTGGACACCACAGATAATGTTTAAAAAGTGTTAGCTGCTAATCTTACTATGTTGTAAGCAGGAGATACTCATTTATATAATATAGACCTGTTCTACAATTTCATTTTGGCTTAAGCATAGCTAATATGGTGTTATGAAGATGAATACAATTTAATATATTAATGTACTTTTGGATTAGATACAAAGAATTTGAGATCTATCATTTTCTAATGAACTTTGGATTTACTGAGTATAGGTGCTGCATGGAATGCAAAGGAAATTGGATTTGCTGTTTCTTAAAAGTACTGATGATGTTAGAAAAGTCTTGTCTTAATTTTCTCTTGCAGGATTCATTGCTGCAGACATTAAAGGTACTGGATCTTGGACACAGCTTTATCTTATCACAGATTATCATGAGAATGGATCCCTGTATGATTATCTGAAATCTACAACCTTGGATACAAAAGCTATGTTAAAACTGGCATACTCATCTATCAGTGGATTGTGCCACTTGCATACTGAGATCTTCAGCACCCAAGGCAAACCAGCAATTGCTCACCGGGACCTCAAAAGTAAAAACATTCTGGTGAAGAAAAATGGAACTTGCTGTATAGCAGACCTTGGTCTGGCAGTTAAATTCATTAGGTGGGCAAAATACTGCATTTCTTAATGAATCTAGGTCTTTTAAAAGTTGTTTTTTTTTAAAGGGGAAAAGGGGGGAAAATAAAACATTTTGTACAGATGAAATGAACATCTGGTGGGAATGCTGGGAATAGTTTATCCTCTCTGGCAGCCAATCTGTGTTATGTTGTTGTTGTTGTTGTTTAGTCGTTAAGTCGTGTCCGACTCTTCGTGACCCCATGAACCATATTACACCAGGCCTTCCTGTCCTTCACTGCCTCCCTGAGTTTGCTCAGTTTCATGCTCATTGCTTCAGTGATGCTATCTAACCATCTCATCCT